AACGCCGATCAAAAACAGCACTGAGACTCAGATCGTTGCATGGCAATTAGCATAACAAAATACCATTTCATGAAGAATTACCCTGATATCACTCGGTAGCTGTGTTGTGGTTTTAAGAACTGTTTCATTCTGACCGGTCCATTTATCGGCTCGTATAACTTCTCGTAAGTTCCAGTCCGACCAGAATAAATGATCATCAAAAACAGTCATCGATGAGATGTGGGAAGTGCGTTTGGCCGGAATATGATGCCGCGCTCCGCCATCCAAATTCATGAAACCAACCTCATTCAGATGTGCATCGGCCCAAAACAATCTGAAATAGATAAAATAACAAGTAGAGATGATTACGAGGATTGCCCTGACTGCTAATGCATGCACAACCAAACAGCCATTCTGTAGTCGCCCAGTACATGCACAGGCACCTATGGTCTCCAAGTAAAGGAACTGCTTTTACGAAGCCGATCAGGACGGTTCTTTTCCTTCATATGAATTCATTGTCAACACTGACAAAAACAAGAAACTGCTTTTGAATTATAAATACACATATGTATTAATCAAAAGCAATTTCTTTATATAGTAACATTAATAGCCTTACTATCCCTGTTTGTAACGTTATTGTATATACTAGCGCTATTAATAGGGTATATCAACACTGAACCCGAGCGGTGTTAGTATTTTTGGTATATACATATATGTAGAGGCAAAAATCGAACGAACTGGCACAGCTGCGCCTGGCATGTGGGAGAGCATCCCATTAACATCACTGACATGAGATTCCACAACGACTGCCCAAGCGCTTTTAATACAACTGATAACTACTTACTTGTCAGCAAAGAAGTCAATTGCAAGTGCATTGGGCCAACCAAGATCGTTTTCAGCAAGCTTTTCAATTGGATCGGCGAGCTGCGGCGAACCATCCAATGAGACACGACCAATGAATGCTTGCAAACTCCATTCCGTGAAGTAGAGATAGCCTTTTCCTGGATGAACGACTATTGCCTACAACAACTGACGATGAACCAAAGCTCTTACTGTATTCAGAATTCCAAAAGCCTTTGAATTTTAAAAAGGCTTTGCTTTTAAAGTTGGTGTGGGAGTATAGGACTCATTTTCATTGACTTTTTGGGAAATTTTTTGGCCATATTACTGAAAGTTGTTTCACAACAAGCAAGACCTTTATTCAAAAAGCAAAAACAAAGAAAAACGCTTTTGAAGTACAAGGCGAAATTCATTTTTATCAGTGACTGCACGAGGCAGTCGTTTTACCATAGCCATATGAAAAAAAAAAAAAAAAA